ATTGTTTCATTCAATGCCTTTTTTCAAACCTCATTTTGAATTATGGGGAGTTCTATGCTAAGATTCTCCCTCAGGTGTTAGGTCAGAAACAAAAAAAGGCGAACCCCTGAAAATTTTTGTGAAGGCCTGGATATTATGCCGGGAAATTTGAAATTTTGGAAAACACTGCTCAAGGGGTTTTTATAGTGAGGATAAAAACAGTAGTTGAAATCGAAAATCCGTGACACCCTGGCCCTCCCTTTCTAAAAAACTCCACGTCAAAAAAACACACGTCGCTCAGAACTGAAGAAAGAAAGTTCAGTTCTTAAATTTTTCTTGGATTCCATGCAAAAAATGTCGAAAGAGACGGATTGTCCAACATGCAGTGAGTCCTAATATTGGGGGATACTGGAAGGAAAAAACAAAAAAGATTTGGCCTCGGTGGGGATCGAACCCGGAACCCTAAAACGAGAGCGTTAGCCACTAGGCCATGGGGTGCAACAGCAAAAAGGGGGGAGAGGGCATCGATAATACTGTAAGGCGGACGGAAGGGGGGAGGGGCTATGGGAACCATTAAGCTACAGACAGAGATAAAAACCGACACACAGATAGACCAATCAATTGAAAACTTCCAGAATATCCAAGTATCCAAGCTCGTGAGCGCCTCAACGAGGTATGCCAATTCATCGTCCCTCGTCAGTCCAACACCATGGTAGTCCCAGGATACGGACAAATTCCAGTAGTCAAAGGAGACCTCTCCTGTCTCTCCCCGGAAGTATCAGTGTTTCTGAACGAGTGTGTTCAATTAATGACCCCTTCCACCATCAGAATCTGTAATGGAAGTGTCTTCGAAGCACAAGAACTTCGTGATTCCATTGGAAACGAGTTTGGAAGTGAGGAGCAGAAAGTTCTGGATCGTCTTCACTTCAAAATGAATGATATTGGATTTGATGATATCCACGTCATCACCAAAGATCGTATGGATGCAGATCCAGGGACATTCTCCTCCACCACAACGTCCTCCACAAATATCCACGTGTCAAAATCCACTTCGACGGATAATATGGAGAATGTCCGCTTGAGTTCTCATTATATGACTGGAAAACATTTCGAATTTGCAAAAGAGAAGAGATTTGATGGGTGTATGAGTGGAAGGACGATGTATGTGGTGCCATTCTCGATGGGATGGATTGGAAGTCGACATTCGGTTGTGGGAGTTCAGATCACGGATGATCCGGTGTTGGTGTTGAATTTGAGATGTACTTTTAGGTGGGTAAAGTTGGAGAGAGAGAGGCGCAGACGAGGCTAGAGTGGCTGACTGTCTGCGTCTCGGCCAAATTGGACTTGGGCGCGCGGAGAGACGCAGAAAGTTAGACGCTCTAGCTGCCTGCGTCTCTGCCCAACTTGAGGTGGGCACGCGGAGAGACGCAGACAGCTAGAAACTCTAGCTTTGTCTGTGTCTACTTTCTCAACTTCAAACGCTCATAACTCGCTTCATAGAGAAGATAGAAAGAAGTGGCAAGAGACTAAAATGATCATCATAACATTTTTCTTCGGTTGACATAAAATTTTTTGAAGTTTTTAGAATTTTTTTTGAGAAGTAAAAAATTGCTTATATTTCAATTGTAATGCCATTCGATAGACTATTTCAAGCCAATCACAGTTTCCTCTTGTCACTTTTCACTATTTCTTCAACGAATCAGCATATAGCCGTTTGAAGTTCGACGAGAGACGCAGGCATGCCAGAGTGTTTGACTGTCTGCGTCTCTGTGCGCGCTCTTTGCAAGCGGCCGTATCTCAGCTTTCAGGGAAGATATAAAAAAGCTGTGAAAGACAAAAATGATCAGCATAGAGTTCTCTTTTCAGAAGATACCAAACTTATTGCAGATTTTTTTTTGAATATTTTCCAAAAAAAAAAATTGCCAATTTTAGCATAGTTTTTGTATCATCGAATTGACAATTTCAAGCCGATCACATTTTCCTCTTGCCACTTTTGTCTATTTCTTCAATGAACCGAGATATAGCCGTTTGAAATTCGAGGAGAGACGCAGGCATGCTAGAGTGTCTGACTGTCTGCGTCTCCCTCCATACTTGGAACGCCTATATCAAGGTTCACAGAAGCGATACAGAGAAGTTGCAAGAGACAAACAAAAATAATCGGTATGAAATTTACTGTCGAATGCTGGAAATTTTGAAGAATTCGATTTTGCGTTGAGGAAAAAGAGTTCGATTTTTCCTTGATTAAGTAAGAGACGCAGACAGGCTATAGTGTCTGACTCTCTGTGTCTCTGTGTACATCCTGATCTCCATCATTTCCAGAGTCCTTCCCAGTGTCTGGGACTGCATCGCCTCCACCACCAACTTCATTCGAAGTGCTCACTCCATCGGAATGCCTCGTCCCATCATCCGTCGTATCGTTTTCCCATCGCCTCCAGAACCTCCAGTCGGAAGTTTCATCGTTCTGAAGCATGATGAGCAACAAGTATGGGCTCACGGATATCCATTCGGAAGGACTCCACGATTCGGAAAGACCTTCTCAATCCATGCTTCCTCGTGGATCGGTGCAAAGAGGGGATGGCTGGCGGAGCAGGCGGCGATTTTGGCGATTACCAGTCAGTTTTTTGGAAACTATAACAGACAGTTCATATTATTTTCAGATCCTAAAAACGAAACGATCAACGTGTGCTACAGTAGTTTGACACCAGTGGAGAGTCTTCAATTGTCGGCTGGACTTGCAAATGGATGGAAGGTACAGTGCCCTTCTATTAGAATAGAATTTATAAAATCTTCATTCTCATTTTCAGATCGATGTGATTTGTGAAAAATCAGTTTGGATCCACTGGCACAATGGAAAAATGCACGCATTTGCTCCCGAGAATGACGAGATGGAGGAAATGGGCACCAAGAAAAATCTCTCGAATCTACTCTCCGGATCCATTCAGGACTATCAAATTCAAGGGTTTAATCCACAGAAAACCAAATGGGAGAGAGATGTGGGCGTCCCTATTACTGCGTACATCTTCGCCAATCGGAGACACGATCAATATCCGTTGATTCTGGAAGCGAATACGTGGGAAGAGGGAGTTTGTTTGGCGGCTGGGATACGGGTTGCCATGCCCAAGAAGAGTGGATCTTTGGAAGGTAAGTAGAGAATTTCAGCTTTGGAAAGGTCTTCATGATTTTAGTGTCATCTGATAGAGAATTTCATGATGGTCATTTTTGTCTTATCTCTTTTTCTCTATCTTCTCGGCGAAGCCAGATATAGGCATTTGAAGTTAGATGAGAGACGCAGAGAGGCGAGAATATCCGATTCTTTGAGTCCCTTGCTCTCATTTCATGTTACAACTCTTTCATTATACTTTTAGTAAAACGAGATATAGCCCTCCATAGTCGAGAGAGAGACGCAGACAGGCGAGAGTGTCTGATTCTCTGCGTCTCTCTCCAAACTTTTTATATATTTTGATAGGAACTTTGCGTTTTTGTCGCTTTTCACTTTTCTTTTTCACCTCTGCAAATCGAAATATCAGCATCGGAAGCTAGATGAGAGACGCAGAGAGGCTAGAGTGTCTCTGGCGCGCATCTCGGACCTTGTTTCTACAGTTTCCTCGAACAGCAAAATCAGCTTACAACACTCTTATTTTTCGGAGAGACGCAACCAGTCAGACACTCTAGCCTCTCTGCGTCTTTCACCTGAATTCAAGCGGCTATATTTCGATTCGCAGCGAAAATAGAAAAAACTTTAACAGGAAAAAATGATCCGCATAAGATTCTCTATCGAGTAGTCTGAAAACATTCCTTGTAGGCACGTCCGCCACGGACCCAACCCAACAACAACTAGTCGAGTGCCCAATGCTTCGTCCGGACTCTATCAACTTCAGCTTTGCCAAATATGTGAATCATTGGCTGGAAATGGGAATCGGTGTCAAGACACCGTCAGCGGAGAGCTCTGAATCCTACGACTCGCCCGTCCCGCCACAAATATTCTTCACCAATTTGTATCAGGAGGCTGACGGAAAAGTGATTTGGCCTGGAGGTGTGGATAATGCAAAAGTGTTTGAGTATATTTATGGAAGGTATTTTGAGAAAACCTGTAACATAAGAGCGTCCCCACTGTTGTATTTTCAGATGTACCAACCCAGTTGACACCTCTAATACGGTATCATCTGGAGTTGGAAAGGTGCCAAAGAATCTGGAGTTGAGTGCGTTGGTCAATCTTCCACCACTTCTCCAAATCAATATTCGTTTCTGGCTCACGGAGCTCAATAAGCTTCGCTCGTTCTTCAATGCTCAAATGGAGTGCTGTCTTCCGCCACAACTCGATAAGGTGCTCACGGATTTGGCTGGAAATTTGTGAGGAATGGAACTTGGGATATGAAATAAATGGGCATTTGATGTTTATCGCTTTCTCAAACCTCCGCGGGTGAAAAATAGGTCGAAAATAAGTATAGGAAAAAAACAAAAAGATTCGGCGCAGGGTGGAATTGAACTCAGGACCTTGGAATCCAAAACCAAGAGCGCTAGCCACTGCGCCACGGTGCCCGCTCCTAAACCCCTCTCTAACCGATCCCGCAGCTCTCTCCCTCACAACCTCCCCATGGCGCAGTGGCTAACGTCCTAGGTTTCGGTTTTCAAAGTCCTGGTTCAATTCCACCCTGGGCCAAATCCTTTTTACTTTTTCCCAAAACCTTTTCCCCTGGTTTTTTTTACACCAATGCATTATTCAAACCCTCTTTTTGGAGCACTTCCTGTCTACAAACACAAACACGGGGGGTGCCTAAAGTTACAAAGAGGGTGAGCAAACAAATGTAATGGTCCATCACTCTCCCCCGAGAAGACGGACGGTTCTTTAGAGATATCAAGGAGAGGAATGCGTGTGCACTGAGGGGGTCATATTTGTATGACCGGGGTAAAGACAGGGTAAGAAGGCAGGTAATGCTAATGAGGATACTTTGAAGCGTTTTTTGCGGTTTTCGAAATTGAATTTGGTCATTGGGAGGGTCTAGGGAAAAAACAAAAAATTTTGAGCCCAGGTGGAATTGAACCCGGGACTCTCGAACCGAAACCGAGAGCGCTAGCCACTGCGCCATGAGGAGGCGCCACGCGGCGCCCGTTGCAGAGACGCAGACAGTCAGAGAATCTAGCTTGTCTGCGTCTCTCTCTCCCTTTACGCAACCTCTACTTATGCAAAACTACCTCCATCCCTCCTGACCTATTCAAATTCAAATCTACTCTCTTTTGTCCCCCTCATTTGCATCATCATTCCCATGTGTATAACCATCCCTCGGCCACCCAACTGTCATATCCATAAAAAAGCCCTATATAAACAATGGGGAGGGCTCCACAGAACGTCTTTGATTGACACAAGTGGATTTCTTGAGGCTCCTATTTATAGGGTCCCAATGATAATTCGATGATCAATTAGAGGGAGAGAGAAAAGGGCGGTACACCACCCGTAAGAGGGCAAGGACCCAGCTTTGTCAGTAATGCGCGAAAGGGAGAAGAAGAAAGAAAGGAGGACGCTCAACACATGTGCTCACTTTTTTTTGAAGAAGGCACGTGTTGAGGCTTATGAAGGAGGGGGAGGATAAGTGGTACTGTATCTGGATAGGAGAAGAAGCGAGTTCAATCGAAAAGTCGGTCTGTGTGTCTGTAGGAAAAATCAGTCTGTGTGTCTGTGTCTGTATGTCTAGTTGTCAAAAAACCCTCTTTATTTCTGTCCACATATCGGTTTGTCTGTCTGTCCATATATCGGATTTTCTGGCTGTCTGTCTGTCTGTCTGTCTGTATATCGGGTTGTCTGCCTGTACATCGGTTTGTCTGTCTGTCGCCACTTGTTTCGATCTGTCGAGTTGTCTGTCTGTATGTCGCCATTTTTTTTTGTCTATCGGGGTGTCTACTATCTGTCAGCATGTCTGTCTGTATCCATGACTTTATGTCCGAATATCTGTTAGCGCTATCGAAACACTCAACTTGGAGCAGAAAAACAGATTTAATAGAAAATTGCTCTGTCTGTGCACCGGTATGTCCGTTTGTCTGTTTGTCAGTATGTCTGCGTGCCAGTATGTCTATCTTTGTGTCATTTTGTCTGTCTGTGTATCTGTCAGTCTGTCGCTTTGTCTGTCTGTCTATTCGCTTGTCTGTTTGTTTTTCCGTATGTCTGCCTGTGTGTCACCACGTCAGTATATCAGTAGGTGTGCCAGAATGCTTCTATCTAGCCTACGGTCTATCTGTATGTCTGTCTGTATGTCTGTCTGTCTGTTTGTCACCATGCCTGTGTATCTGCTTCCCTATCTACCTGTCTGTCTGTGTATCTGTCTGTCTGTCCATCCTCCCACCCGACCTATCCAACAGGTGCACATAATCCACCAAAAAAACGTGTTCAACAAAAAATTCAAACCTCCTCCTCCTCCTGCAGCACCAGGAGCCTGATGAATATGTAACCAATTGCGTGTTGTTACGCAATTCAAAAAGAGAAGACCGATATGCAAAGGGGAAGAGCACCTGGTGAGTAGAGAGATTACGGAAGAGGAATGGGGTCAAACGGAGGACAAGTACAACGAATACAGTGATGGATTGGGGATAAGAAAACCTCTAATAGAAGGGTACCCGAAAAGTTAGGAAATGTAAGAAAATGGTTGTCTGAAATCGGGCTTCAGAGAAGAATGAACGGAAGGGAAGATACAGAATTTTTTTTCGTGTTACGTGCGCAGGATGAGTAGGTTAGAATGAGATAAACAAGAAAAGTTATACGGACACACAAGCAGACAGACAGACAGACAGACAGGGAGGGAGGAGTTCAGATAGAGATAGGATAGATGAACTGAACAGTTGTATTTGGATAAGTTCCTACAGTAACCATAGAGATCCAAAAATTGAATCAAGGTTGACTGACTTTCTCATGGTAAGTCACTGTTATCCCACATTTTATCTCACACATCTGTGTGGTTTTTTGTGCCCAAACCGATTAGAACACCTTTATGTTGCTCTTTATCTGAGCCGAACATGGTGCATCCGTCCTAAAAAAACACTGTCAAGCCTGTTGTCTTTTTTTGTTTTTTCTTTATTAAAGTAGACATTTTGATGGATTTGAGTGTATTTTTTTGGTTAACGAACCTCCGGAAACATCCAAAATACACTGTTTCTAGGTGATCAGAAAAAAATGCACATTCCCGAATTTCCGGAATTCAAAAAATCCTAAACCTAGAAAACTAGTGGCTATTGTGAAAAAAACCGACTGCACGTCACTTCGCAACTCACAACTTCGAAACTGTCGTTTCGCAACTCTGACCTTCTGAAGATCGCTCGAAACCGGGCTAAGCGCGGATTAAAGCTTTCATTTTTGTTACAAAAATCTAGCCATTTTCTCCAGTCCGGACCGTTTTGAATTTTACCGGCGACTCTCTTCATTTGGTCATGATAACGGGTTTCAGAATGTCAGTGTTGCAAAACTTCACAGTTTCGAAGTTGTGATTTTCGGAGTGATGCGGAGCCAAAAAATCAAATCGTTCAAAATCAGTCAAATTGAGCTACAGTAACTCCAAACCCATTATTTTTGTGGGTTGATAAAAAATTCAAAGTTGAAAACTGATGAGCCCATAAAAACTGGTTTTGCAGCTTCAACCAATAAAGCTATCGAAAAGTGACCAACTGACAAACTGTACAAAATGAGACAAAAAATTTCCGCCAGTTAACAATTTTTAGGTCCTCTTAGGTTCAGCTAGGACAATTGATTTCTTATCGGAACCAGGGTTGTCGGACTGCCGGCCGCTGATAACAAAATCCGAGCCATCTTTTCATTAAAATGCTCAGTTCTTCATGCAGGGTCTACAGGGTCGGTCGGAACCAAATTTCAAAATTATAAAAGTTGAGGAAAAAAATGACTTGTTTCTATTGACTTGGAACAAGAATTTTCGAGAATCAGTGAAAACTTTACATTATTCAGTTCAAATAAGTTTGTTGGAATCCTGGTTGTTTTTTTTTTTTTTGAAAAGCTGTGTTCTGTGCCTTTAAAAATTAACCTACGAACGTACCGTATCACCAAAAGCGGCTCGAAGCGTTTCAAAGGCACAGATACTAAATGGTCTCGCCACGAACAGCTAGTCAAACTACCTTATCAGTCATTACCCAACCTCTCCCTTACCTTACCTAACCTTCCTATCTTATGCAATAGCTGTCTCTTCCGTGTCCCCCTTTTAACCCGAACACCACCTCCATCATCTCAATAAGAGCCGCCTGTCCTTCCCCCCCCCCCCCCCCCCTGAGGGGGGACCATATGAATAAGGGGATGGCTAAAGATATTCAAATGCCATTGCATACACAGGGACACACCTCTCTTACAATTCCATCACTATTCTCATTCATATATTCCCGTTCGTTGCGCACTGTTGCACCTCCCACTGTCCGGGTGGTGACCTCTTACTCGAGGGGGTGAGGAGAGGGGCGGGTTCTTTATGTCCCTCCCCGGTCTACGGTCCATCGACTCTCGAGACAGCCGGTGCGCAATCACTCGGGGATGTCACTTTATGTGTTTGTGCTCCAAGAGATGGTGCAACAGGCTGTTGCCTTCTCGTTTTTTTTTTGAGGGATGGCTTGGGGGTACTGTGGGTTTTGGGGTTTTTTTTTTTAGGTTTTTCTTCAGGAATAAGGACCTGGGACTTGAGATTAGGTTTTCAGTTTTAACTTTGAAATCAGGCCTAGAATACATTTGAAAAATGCGTTTTATTAGTAGGATTCCCCGTAAAACCTAAAAAAAAGTAGTAGCCCGTCCATGTACTTCATGTCACATGTAGTATATCTCTGTTACCTTTAGACCTATCAAAAAGCTTTCAACTAACAAAATATTTAAAATGTTCTGGCATATAATTCTTCAATTGACTACTTTTTAAAATTCCTGAAGGCAACCGAGATATACCGTTGTGAACATAGAGCACTGGATAACCCATTCAGATGTTGCTGATTCATTTTCTAAGAAGTATTTCTCGGTTGTCTTGACAGTTATCAAAATGTTTTCAACTAATGAAATCTTTGAAATTAAATAATAAATATTTCTTTAGTTGACAAACTTTCGAAATTTTCAAAGGCGGCCAAGATATACTGCTTGGAACCTACAGTACTATATTAATCATGAAGCATTTGCCGTTTTATGTTCAGAACAGTATATCTAGCTTGCTTTGAGAGCTAACAAAAAGTTTCTGACTAATAAAATATGTAGAATGTTCTGGCAGATATTTCTTTAGTTGACTACTTTTTGAAATTCTCGAAGGCAACCGAGATATACCGCTCTGTTTTTTGTATCGTAAGCTTTCTTGTGTCTCTTTTCTTTTACAAACCTCGAATAGAATGTCACTATTGGGGTTGCAATTTGATTAAACGTGCTCTTTTAAAGGCTTAGAAAAAAATTCCAAGAAGTCAAAAAAGCCTGTGATAGAACGGCACCTCGTTAGGATGGATTTTTAAGATTCGCAAATTTTTCTCAAATCTAGTGACCAAAAAGACCACCATAAACCTAATTCCTAGAAACTTTGCCCATATTACCGCTTTTTCCCCAAACCAGATTTTTATTTTCTGAAAATCTCCCAATTATACACCCAAAATCTGGTGATTCCCCAAAATTTCAAATTTGGCATGCCCTTCTATAAGAGGTTCCTTGTGCTCACCGGCCCCTTTCCTACCTTTCCTTTTTCTTCCGTCAGCTATCTTTCCCTCGCTTTTTATGACTGTGTCAACACATTTGACCCCTCTTACCCCAATCACCCTTTATACATTACCGCATCCTTCCCTCTTATTTCCAGCCCCCACTACATCCGGACACCCCGACACACAGATGGACATTCACCGCACCCTATCGGCCCTTTTCTCGAATCAAGGAGCCGTCCCACCGTCTCTACTCGGCTCACTTGGCTTCCCGTTCAATGACGGCAATTCCTTGCTCTCCGGAGCCCTGGCGGCTGCGGCGGCCGCTGCCGTTCAAGGGAAGAAGTTGGACACTCCACTGGGAATAGTACCTTTCGATTCGGCAGGACTACCCGGGATGTTGACGCCGACGAAGAAGATCAAAATGGAGGAGGATATAATGTGTAGTAGTCCGGTGTCG